GCACCGCGTGGGGACGCGACGTCGCAGGTGCTGCTCTGCCCGCTGCAGGAGCCACCCAGCACCCAGCTGCAGGAGGTGCAGCCACGGGCAGGCGTAAAATATTTATTTTGCCTCTTCTTGGCAGGGGCAGGGGGGAAATAGGCAGGTCACTGAAAGCATCGAACCTTTCAGGCTGTAAATGTCCTCAAAAATTAATAGGCAGGCTGTGTTTGCTGGAGAAGCGGTGCCCAGCGCTGAGCCCCGCAATGCCGTCAGCAGCTCCTTTGCCACTGCCTTGGGGAGGTGCTGGATCCGGTCCCCGAGGGTGCTTGCAGTGCTATTCTTGAAAAGAGAAACTTCAAACCCTGCACCCCCACATTTTTTCAGGAAATAAATGTATTAGCAAGCAGGATTGTCTTTTTAAGAAAGGCCCTCAGGTGATAATAATTAACTGCTTATATTGGATAATAAAATCTACATAAAAATAACAAGCTACAGGGCAAGGTTAAGGTTATTACATTGTGGTTGAACAGGCAATTCTTCATACTTGGAATAAAGGCTTTGTTTGTTATGTAAGCACGCTTGGAAAGGTTTATGATGTCCTTGACTATTCCTTCCGTGATTTAAGAGCTTCAATTTGGCAAATGATGACAGGAAAGTGCATGTTTATCTGTTAGCAGCCCCAACTGGCTTTCTGAAATGAGATTTTTTTTGTTGTTGTTTGGAATTTTTTAGCATAATCATGGAGAATTAGGCATCAAGCTTCCAATCGCATTAATGAGAGCTTTGAGGTTTAATCTCATCCATTCCTCTTGAAAGACATGTTCTGCTAGGCACTGAGATATGTTTTATGGTTATGGGTTTTTCCATGATATTTGCCCACCATGATAAATAAGGCAAGCTATTTTTCAAAACTATCCATAAATAAAGAGGATTGGTTTGAGGTTTCAGAGATAAATTCTTCCTCTTTTTAATGAGTCCTGCCCATCCCTGCCTTGTAAGTTATGCAGACTGGGGATGATAAGAACAGAGACTGGCATGCACTACTTACTTACTTACTCATCTTTGCTCACTTATGATTCAGCAGCTACAAATTATCCCTAGAAAGAGGAAAAGCATATGCAGAAGCATCGTAGTGAGAGTGCAAATTCCAAAGACCTTTGCAAGAGAGATTTTGTGAGGACAACTAATCAAAGTCTAGTGTGGCTGCACTAAGGCAATTGCAGCAAGATGTGTCTTTTTAACAGTGGGGGGTTGCCAGTAAAACTGGAAGCAGCATGGCGGGTGAAAGTATGATAGCTGCGAAGAAATACAGTCTTTAATTTTAAGGAGGATCAGGCAATGCTTTGTAGGACTCTACGGTGGGAATTCCAGCATTACAGAGCTGACACTATGACAAAAGGAGCTGGAGATGAAACTAGGCTGTGACTGGAAACAGCACCGTTTCTTTAATGCTAGAAGTGATATCATAATGAACCTGTGAGCACCTTGACTTGATGGATATCGCTGTGTTGCCCACCACCACCAACTGCTGTTGTTGCCCCACTGAAAACTGCCGGGCCATCTCTGAGAGCAGGTGGCTGTCCCCTGCCTCAGAGGACTCAGCTCCTGCTGTGGACTGCGGGAGACTCTCTGCTGGAGTCTCCAGAAAGCAGCTGGGTGGATCAGAGGAAATCTGATGTGTGGTGATGGCACAAACATGCACCAGCTGTTTGTGCTGCCACACATTGGTGGAACACAGGGGTTTGCTATTCCTCCTGTTGGAGACCTTGACAGGTAACCCATCTCTGTATGGGTTTGCATGTACCTTTATGGCAGACCCTAATCTACAATGGATGATACCACGACTAATAAATTGTTAATAATTTTAGATAAGCAATATCAAAAAATCAATAACCATTTTTGTGATGTTCACTGCATAAGTGCCAGTCTTAGGGAGCCTTTACTGTTGAGCTGGCCTAATGACCCAGAGGTCCCAGAGAAGATAGTCTTTGCAAGTGTCAAACGCTTGTCACAAAAAAAGACTAATCAGTTTTAAGATGAGTCCTGTTACCCCAAAGTACCATATGTAGCACCGTAAAGTCACTTGCAACTGCTTCAAAGACACCCAAATGTCACAGGTGCCTAGTCCAAAAGCAATCTCTTCCTCTTTGCTTCTCGAAGTGCTTTAATATGTTTCAAGCTAGAGAAATAGAGGAACCCCCAAAGCCTATATTGCATGGCCACTTTATGACTTTTCTATTGGTTCAGTTCTGGAAAAAAGGCGTGCCATCTTTTAGGCTTTCGTTTTGTGAAAACTGCAAATTTTCTGGGAAGTCATAAGAGAGAGGGAGCTGTCTCCTGGAGGTTAGCTTCCTGCCTCAGGACCGTGCTGAGTTTTCACAAGACGTTGGCTGAGACCGGGAAACAGTGACGTTAACAGTCAGAAACAAGAAGGGAAATTGATGCAGCTGAGCAAGCTTAAGGAGCAAGCTTTTAAGCTTCAGCCCCTTGAACTAGGTTGAATGCCCTAGATTCAACCCCCCGATACCACAGCTTTTCTCCACGCAACACATTTTTAAGCGTGGGAGCTTTACCACAATATTTTGTGGATGCTGAAAATGCACAAAGTATTCAATAAGCCACAGGGTGATTCAGGGAAGAAAAATCTATGAAGGGTTACTAAATATGAATCCACCACTTCTGGTTCAGGAAGTCCTTGAGCCGCAAATGTCTGAAGGCGGAGAGGGTAGTGGGGAAGCACCACGGTCCCCGTGCTTATCTCTTTCCTGGGGGTGTGCCGCTGACTCCCGTGGGAGGTGGGATGCGTGGCTGAGCAGACCTTTGCTCTGAACTGCTCTGACCTGTGTGCTGCAAAGAGGTAACAACTGATCTCAAGGAGAATGATAAAAGATTTTCAAAGCAAGCGAGCAACAACATTCTTGAATCTTGGCTCCTTGCAGCTGCCAACTAAAAAGATTGATGAAAGGGTCCCAGTTCTGCTTGGAGGCTCTAGGGAAGCAGTGGGAGAGGGGAAAATGAATCCAGTGCACAGTAAGCCTCTTGTCCTCCCCGTACCTGATCATTCTGGCCCAAGAGGCACTGAACAAGATCTGAAATAAAGGGCTTATCATTTCCTTTTCTTTGTAACTGAGGCCCCCGGTTCTTAGTGACAACCTTTTACAAGTTGTTTGCAGTAGTACATTTCTATACTATCTACTTTGCTTTGAGTAAAGGTGACTCTGTAAGGAAAGAAAAAATAATGATCACAACTGAACGCTTATCTGTGGTCTGCATAATCGAGTAACACAGGTGTAAACCAGGGAAACAAGTGTGCGAAAATAATAGCAGAGTGAGTGATGTTTTTGGGTAGGTATTGAACATCTAAGAAGGCAAACTTAGACAAACAAAGAAATACAAGCTAAATACTGGTAATACATCTTTTGGAAGAATAATATTCTAAAATATTAAGTAGGGGAAGTTTAGGAACAAGAAATAATACAAGCACTGGGGAGGTGAGGGATGTGAAAGAATTTTGCAAAGATCTGCGGCTACTGGAAAGAGGATCTGGAGTGGCTACCAAGCAAGAATATGCAGAATTACTTGCAGTTTCCAGGGGAAATGCAAGGGCAGAAAGACAGTGTCATGAGCTAATGGTAGACAAAAGGGCTAGGGGACCCAGCAAGGCTTCTGCAAATATATCAAGATTTAAAAAAAAAAAAATACTGGAGTGACAGTAGATTCCATTAATAAATGAGGAAGGGGAAGAAATTAATGACTTAAAAATGGCTGAGACACTCAACTCCTTTGTTAGATCTATCTTCAAGATGAAAAATGCATAAATGAACTTTGAATAATTAGTAAGCGGTGAAGACGCTGTTGGAATCACTACTGATAAAGACCTGTTAATGGAGAACTTGGAAAAAGCAAACAAAGGCAAAGTTAACGAAGTTCAGGGAATTAGGTAACCCGTTTGATGAACCCAGGTCACTTCTAGGGAAAAAAAAAATCATGACCAATAGGGAATATAGCTAATGGGCAGAGCAACCAACCCAGCAAACGTAAATCCTAGCAGGGTAACTGGATAAAAATAGAAAGAGAGGGAAGAAGAAGGGTTATTGAATGCAGTGGTTCCCATGGCATCCCTTGAATTTGCAGATAAACTTCTTGTGACTTTGCTTCCTGGAGGATAAAAGAGCCTTGAGCAGTGAGCTGAATGATTTCTAAAAAATATATGTTTTGCTGTGCAGTCTTTTTTAAGCAAAATCTGGCTTGGTTCATGATTAAAGGAGTAGGACGGGCCATGCAGTTGGGAAGCAAAACCTTTTGCTAAAATGCTTTGAGGTAGGCACTGATATTTGGGTTTGCTCTGCATCGTATCTTGTATACAGCTGGTGTCACACAAATAACAGGTCCCTGCCTGTAGGCCCTATCAGTCTTTGGGAGAAATTCCTTATGTATTAATATTTATATCTGTAAGTCGATAATAACAGTTGTGATTGCCACACAATTATACATAATACATATGTTTACATAATTAATAACAGCATTAGAAAACAGTCACCTTTTTACCTAATGATGAACAGATTGATTTTATGTTTACACAGGTTATTATTTCTCCTTCTAAATGGAATCGTGAGTGGTCTGGATGGATGTCAACACAGACTCTGGGAACTTTGGGAGTGAGTTAAGATCCCAGCATGGCACCAGCACAGCAACACACATTGCTAAATGGAAGATGTTATATTACCACTTCTGTTTCCTTCAAGATAGGTCCTGTTCCTTGTTGGGCTGGAGGTCTGATGCTGCAGGCCAGTAGACGAGGACCCCCCTGAAGACATCTGAGCAGGACGGTGGCTACAGGAGGAAGAGGAGCCTCCAGCAGGATGTCCGGCTGTAGGACTCTGCCGCATGCCATACACGGAGCCCATGCAACCGAAGGCAGAATCAGCAGGATCCACACTGTACCGCTTCATGTTTGCAGGATCAGCCAGGTAGTCCTCAGGTATGACTGTTTCTGCTCAGGAAGCCAAGACACAAAAGAAACATCAGTAAAACAGAATCAATTTTAATTCAGCCCTTGGGAATTTTTTTTTTTTTTTTTGGCCAAAATTCCCTTTTTTTTTTTGCAAAAAGTTTAACTCCATTTACAACTTTCTGTGCAGACAGCTGGCTCCAGGAGGGATTCTTGCTGAGAATTAATAAATAATGAAGGGAAGCACAACCAGTCAGAAGTCAGTAGAGTCACAACAGGGAAGCTATGGCTTGGTGTGACTCATCCGTGTCAGCTTACAGCAATGTTCTCTGTAAAGTCCTGGGCCACTGACTGGCGAGTCCCATTTGCCTCATTGTGCTCCCCAAATACCACCAAGACTAGAGGATTGTGCACCTATTGTTTGGTCTGTCTTTCATTTAAAAACATAAAAGTTGAAAGGAAGAAGGCAGGGGAGGACAACAGGACAGGCAGCTTGTTGGGTTCATAATGCCGGGCAGCTAGTAGGAGGGAGCAAAGGTAATAAACCAAAGCCTTCTAGCTGCAATTACCAAAATTAATCAGAAAATATCCTCAGCTGCAGGCACTCATGAGGGCCAGTATCCCTCAAGAAGAGGCTTGATGACTGATGAGCATGCCCAAGGTTTATCATGGGCAGAGATGTGTGAATGAGTCACTCAGATCCAGCTTGGGTACAGATACATGTGCCATCACCACGGATGACTGCAAACCGTTGCTCTGGTTCCTCTCCTCTGCGTTGCACTTTGCACACCATGTAGGAGCTAAGTACCTTGCTTTTCAGACTCTTCCCAATAAATGAAATTTTGCGCTTAGAGACCTATTTTGGAGACTTATATTTCCCTTTGCTTGGGGGTCTAACACAGAGGTGTGAGGCAGGTCTAGCCACAGATTTTGCAGTACACAGAATTTTTTTGCCAGTTCCCCTCATACTTAGTTCCAGATTCATCTTGCTTTGCTGTCTGGACTGAGACCTCCATGTCTGTGTCATTGTCCTCCTCTGGCCAGTCCCCGTCTCCTCCCAACAGGTCTTGATATCCAAGCTCCTTGCTACCTGCCTTTTTTGTCTTCACAAAAGATAAGTCAAAGACCTTCCTCCTCATTCCACTGCTGTTCTTCCTGCAAAACCAGCCCTCCACCCACCCAGCCCCAGGACCCTTTCCTCCACCACCGTCACCACCACCACTGGGATGCAAGCAGAAACCTCTCTGAGATCCACACCTTCACATAACCCCTACAAATACTGGCAACCTGTGCTTCAGAGATTCCCACTCTTACTGGGTGAAACAAGGTGTTAACATCTGGCGGGCAGGGAGCCCCTAGATTAGGAAAGTGCCTGTCATTGCTCCGCGACGTTTCTTTGAGCTGTTGAAAATGCCACTTTCCTCATCATGCGTACTCTCCCTCCAGAGACATCCAAGTGGAGTGAAATTACCCCCGTGGTGTCGCACATCTCCTTTCCTGCCTGAGCAACACTATCCTCCCGACGTATTGTGTAGCCTTATGAGTAACAGGAAGAATTTATGCTGCAATTTATGCTACAAGACCCAAACCCCATCGCTAATAGATGTTGAGACTGTATATAATAGAGTTTTCCTTTTAATTTACATTTTTACTCTTTTGCTTTGAAGAAAAAAAAAAACTTGGCAGCTGTGTACAGTAGTTGATGTTAAACAAACATGATTTAGTTTGACAACTCAAATACTCAAGAGTTGTGCCACGCCAGCATCCTGGCTCGTGTGTCAAGCCACAGCACAGATTTTTGTTACATGATTGCCTGACTTTTCATATTCTTGCTGCTGTCTTTTAAAACTTTGTCCCATTCTGAGCCAAAGTTGGACTCACCATAAGGCAGATCTGAAGGACAGCTGTAAATGTGACGTTTCCTCGCTTTTGGGCACTTGCCTTTGCAACTGCAAGTAACTTTCCTTTAGTGAGACTTTTTTCCCTTAGATAATTTGGATTCTTACAGCATGCATTCAGGTATCCTGGTGCTTTCTGCCAGGGATTTCTGAGCTTGATTCTCACACAAATACAGATAGGGTGTAATTCAGTTGAATTCAATGGAGTTCAGCTAGTGTAACACTAGGAAAAGAGAAATGGGAATAGAAATGGGAATCAGACACTCCGAACCTTTCTCCCTAACCTCCAACAGATGCCAAAATTATATAGCAATTGAGCTAAATACCTTGCTTTTCAAACTCCTCCCAATAAACCAAAGAAAATCCAATCAAGCCTCCTCATTCAAAGGAATTTAATTACTGTGTAGAACACTTGCAATAAAAGCCTCTTACTCATAAAGAAGACAGCTCTTTCTGCAGCATCCTGCCTGCACCGCATGGAATAATTATGCCTCTTGTGAATCATTAACTCTTTATTCCAGGAAAAGAATGGTCTTTTAATATGATTACAATATAAAGAAGACACAGTCTATCAAAACAACAAACAGCACATTAAAAAAGCCCTGCTAAATAAATGGCATACAGCTTTTATTACTATGGATATAAATTACTCCAGAATTTGTGAGCAGACACCAGGGATTTTTTGACTGATGTCAGACCCTCTCAGTAGTCTGTGTGAAATAAGACATGTGTGGGTGAAATTCCCTCATGGAAGGACACTATGACGAGGAGCCAGATGCCGTCACTTCTGTCCCTGACCCTGCCTCAGACTCTGTTCTTGATCTAGATCAATTTATTCCACATGTCTCTGCTTTGGGCTCCACAATGGGACTAATGCTGCCTATTGCCACAGACCAAGCAGGAGCCTCCACCCATTACTCTCTGAAACATGCCCCTGTGGAAGGTGCTCTGGGAATTTGAAAGTCGTATTCATGTCTTCATTGGACAGGGGGGAGCAGGGATCATTTCAAGCCGCCAGGTTTCTAAGCAAGCCTTTTAATAGCTCCTGGTCTTCAAGTTGACATGAGCAGTCAGTAGATTACAAGAGCAACTCATCAGTCACCTCCTCCTGACCGAAAGAAGCTCATGATGAAATGCAGGTCACAGTTAGATTAAGAAAAAGGAGACTGTGCATTCAAGTATGTGTGGTTACAGGTTTTAAATCATACATTTTTAAAAAGTGTTGTTCATCATCTGTGCTCCCTTCTGAGTGTGGGCTACTTCGTAAAACTGCACGAGCTGATGCACCTTTAGCAACCATATGTCCATGAGCCCATGCCCTGCAATGGTCTGACCACCCCCAGGAGAGGCCCATGTGTGGGAGGGAAGAGGCAGGCAGGCCCAGGGGGCTTTCAGGGCACAGAGGGATCCATTATGCTCATGAAGGGTGACACAGTCCCTTGTGACACTTCAGGGCAGGAGAAGACATCAGCATTTCATGACCCGCCTCCCAGCAGCAGAGAAGGAGGTGAATGTGACTGGGGACAGTCTGTGTGGGTTCCCCAAGGATCAGTCACACCTGACAAACCTGATTGCCTTCTATCATAAATGTGGGCAAAGGGAGAGCAGGGGATGCCATTTTCCTTGACTTTAACAAGGCTTTCAACACAATATTTTTGTATCCAAGTTAGAACATTACTGTTGGGATGAGTGAGAAACTGGCTGGATGATCAGGCTTAGTGGGTGGCAATTAATAGGTTGTATGGAGGCCAGTAAAAAGTGGGGTACCACAGGGGTCTAACCTGGCATCCAGATTTGGTCTCTGCAATACCAGACACAGAAAAATGAGTGAGTTCAGTGCCTGAGGACTGGAGCACTTGCCCTGTGAGGGGCAAGTTCCTGGGGGAATGGGGCTTGTTCAGCCTGAGGGAGAGGCAGCTTGAAGGTAAGAGCCTAACAGCAGCCCCACAAGACCCATGGAGAGGTCACCAAGAAGATGGAGCCAGGCTATTCATAGTGGTGCATGGCAGCAGAACAAGAGACAACAGGCAAAAATTGAAACAAAAATTTCAGAGTTGGGGTTGTTCAGCCTGGAGGAGAGAAGGTTCCAGGGAGACCTTCTTGCAGCCTTCCAGTACTAAAAAGGGGCTTCTAAGAAAGATGGGGACAGACTTTTTAGCAAGGCCTGTTGCAATAGGACAAAGGGTAATGGTTTTAAACTAGAAGAGGGCAGATTTAGACTAGATCTAACTATTCTATGATTCTACGATTCTATGATTCTATGATGTAAGGAGAAACCTTTTCCCCATGAGGAGAGTGGGGCTGTGGCAGAGGTTGCCCAGAAAGATTGTTCAGGCTCTGGCACTGGGGGTTTTCCAGACCCAGCTGGACAAAGCCCTGAGCAACCTGGTCTGACCTCATAGTTGACCCTGCTTTGGGCAAGGGGTTGGACCAGAGACCTCCTGGAGTCCCTTCCCACCTGAATTCTCCTCTGATCCTATGGCTGTCATCTTCTCCACTTCAAGAAGCAGCCAAAGAGTGTGGGAGAGGATTGTGGCAAGGGTTCATGTGAGGGTCCCAGGGCCCCTTACAGTGGCGCAGGAGGCAACAGGAGGGACGGGCTCCACTGTCCAAAACCTACAAAAGACTGTGGAAGCTCTTTGTGTTCATATTTCTCCAGCTTCTTGTTAGTTTGTACCACAGAGAAACTGCATGAGTTTGGGCTCCACCAATGATGTATATAAAAATATCTGCGTTTTGTAAGCTCCCAGAAGGCCTTGTAATGCATACGGCTTTCACAGCTACTAATCCCACTTTGGCCAATTAGGGAAAAACATGTTTTCTAAGACAATAGAAAAAAACATGACTCTCTATTGAGGTTTAAAATGCAAGTTTCATAAATCTGTAGCTTAGCCCTTTTGTATTCTGCTGCATTTCCGTATTTTATTTTCTAGATAGTTAGCAGAAGGGCACACACTAGTGAGAAATTAGTACACAATGTTTTAAAGCAGGATTTATGAGGAAGCTTGTTTGAGCCTTTGCTTTGAGCACAGTAGTAGCCTCCATTACAACTGTTCACCACCCTGAGATGCTCAAGCCATTTTGGCATTGCTGTCCTTTCCATGAAAGGTCCACAGGCAACTGGATTGAAAAGCCCAAGGCTGT